AATGAGGTGCGGAATAAGATCCGTTGGGCAGCTTCACGCCTACGAGGAAATTCTTTTGATAGATTTTTTAACTATAATATCCTACCATACGCAAAAACCGCAAAGTCTTTGCAAAGTGGACAACCAATGGCACCATGGATGGCTTCAGTTATTCGACATTTACGATCGGAGGAGGAAAAGAGAAATAGAAGAGCCACACGTCTTTTGTTTCAGAGAGTGGCAACAAATTTACGCACAAAACGTATTTTGAATAAGTCAACTCTGTAAGGGATCTGCTATGGCTTCCTATGTTACTCTCTTGTGGAAAAAGTGGACAGAGAGATGCTACAAAAAACGCGAGACGATAAAAAGAGAAGGAGCAGCCGATATTCACCGCATGTTGGACATCATGGTAAGTAACATGAAAAGCACATCGTGACAGCAACAGAGACTTGGAGAACAACTACGACTGGAGGAAGAGAGACGGCAAAAGAATTTTAAAGAGTTGCGAGATCCTTGTGCGGACCCGAGTAGTGCACACTTTGATGTGGCACACCTTCCGAAAAAACACATGTAAGAGATATATCTCAACTGTATATACGAATAATAAGCATAAACGGTTTCCCAAAGAAAAGAAAACAAACAAAAAAATAAAATGCTCTGATCATTTTGCACCACCACCACCACCACCACCAATAACAGGAGCAGCTCTTTTCTTTCTCTTGGTGCCTTTTGGGTAATCTTTCCGGTACTCCATACTTCTGAAAAAAAAAAAAAATTTAATTTTATACTTCACTCGAGTAACTTTTCTCATTGATGTTGTTGTTATTCGTACAGAAAGTAAAAGGAAAGAAATACATCTCCGCTAACCAGACTCTCGTGATTTGTTCTAAATTAATTTTTGTATTCTACACTGGTGGCAAAATCCCTCTTTCCCCCATTCACACCCCTCATGGGTAGCAGTAGTGTTAACTGAAAGAGATTTCGAAAATAAACTTTCCTTCCAAATATCAAGTTAAGTGAGGAGAGATGTGATGTATAAGAAAAGAGAATTGAATTGAATTACATGTAAACAAACCCAACCACGTAGCCTGTATATGTGTATAAAATCCAAGTGAGATGCTTTGTTTTTGCTTTTTTGCTTTTTTTATATTAAACTTTGTATATTGAGATTTCACGCAACGCTGTCAATAATCATTTGTTTTTAATTTGTTTTGCTACTGAACCATGTCAATCTTTACAAACATATCCAACGCAATTACTATCTCACACACACATATTACCTCTTTATTTATCCTTATTACTATTATTTTCTTTTTCCCTCAGAATGCCAGTTCGCCCCTTCTTCTCCCACATCATTATCAGCAAAAAAAAAAGAAAAGAAAAGAAACGCACCACCCCATGGGAGGCAGAGGCCCGCAGCCAGAGCGCAACACGCGGTGCCGCAAACAAAAGCGCAACCACCACCAGCACATGTAGAAAACACAAATCGCGACGGCAAAAACCAGATTGGGGCGCCTGGCACCCNACGGCAAAAACCAGATGGCGCGCCTGGCACCCCAAAAAAAATACAGGGGTGGGGGTCCGGCCCCGCCACACGGACAAGTCCGGGACGGCCCGGGACACCCCCTAACTCCACCAAGGCGGAGCAGCACAACGACACACGGAGGCTACGAACGACCAAAAGGAGAATAACAACCAGTAGAACGCCAAAATAGCAGAGGCGCAGCTATTGTAGAGGCCGCCTGCTTCGACCAGAAAACTGCCACCCCACCCCGGCGCCACCAGCCGGCCCAAGTTGTGACAGACGGCGGCGGCGACGCCACCAGGCCGGCAAAACCCAAAACACCGGAACAACCCAACACCTACAAGGGTCAGCTTGTGTGCGAAAATGTGCCCCAATACCACCGTAACGAGGCCCAGTAGAGCACGGAGGCTGGAAACGCACGGCACTCGCAAAACTGAAAATTCACCCCTGGGGGGTGGGGCTGGGAATGACACCCCGGGAGCATGATATGTTCTTTTGCGGGTATTTCGGGTACGACCATACTTGGCTGAATGCACCATATCCCGTCCGATTTGTGAAGTTAAGCGGCCACAGGCCTCGTTAGCACGGCGATCAGTGATGGAACGCTGGAACCCGTGGTGCCGTACCCTCCTCAACTTTTTTTTTTGCCAACATCTTGGGGTGGGTGCCTTGGACCTCTGAAGTGAACCACGGCTCGCCTTTGGCAATGGCGCCTGTCTTATTGCGGCGCACAGCTTACGCACTTCCATCCCCCAGGGAAAAGCCAACCATGCCTCACACATTGTTTTGGTGGGGTAGGCGGTGGGGTGCCAACAAACCAAAATACCTATGGGCGAAATGTTCTTATGGGGCGAAATGTTGTTTTTGTACTTGCTTTTCCTTTTCTGCATTTCCCATGGATTTCCTTTTCACACCACACATGGCAGTAGCGGAACGCCTTCACATCACCATAGCAGAATTTCCCTTTATCATGATGCTGTGGTGAATCCCCTTCCCTTTGTTCTTTGTTCATGGTGTGGCCATCCAACAGCACCTTTTATTCGGTGGCACGCGGCACCATGATGTCACGAGGGGAACGGGGAAGGGTCATCTTAGTGGAAAACTCTTTCTTTCCCTACTTCAGCGCGGAGTAAGATGGGTTTGAAAGGTATTCCGCAATGCCCAATCCCAC